CCTTCACTCCCCCTCCCCCTCCATACACACTCCCCCACTCACCGACTCAACCCCATGTTACAATAGTGAGTAGTCTCCGCACAGATCTCTATCTCGTCAGCGCAGGTGCTGGAGAAGATCCTGTTGGTCAGTTGCAGTTTCAGATAGTTCCGTGACGTCTTGATGTCCGGCTCTTCGGACGTATCAATGACCACCTCCATCCACAGGTAGGCATCCTGGATGTTGCTCAAAGGATCTGCCAGAGAAAGAGGCAGTTACATAATATTCAACAGTCCATTACGTATTGATAGAAATGTATACGAATAACATCACTTATTGAATTAATAGAATGGTATCAATGACACAACACAACTCATTGAATTAATAGAAATGTATCAATGGCACAACTTAAAGAATTCATGCATGTAGAAATGTATACGAATAACACAACTTAATGAATGAAAAGAAACGTATCAATGACACGACACAACTTAATGAATTAATACATTTACAAATGTATCAATGTCACAACACAACTTAAGGAATTAATATATTTACAAATGTATCAATGACACGACACAACTTAAGGAATTAATACATTTACAAATGTACAAATGACACAACAAAACTTATTGCATTGATAGAACTATATTTATCAATAACACAAAGACACAAAGAGACTCGAGCCCCTGAACCTGCGACCTTACGATTGCGAGTCCGCCAGACTATCTAGCACCACTTGTAATATTTCACGAACGACTTCAATTCGCGAATGCCTGCACAAACCGCGAAAATTACAAGTTCAAATCGTGTCCGAAAGAAAAAACAACAGAAACAAACTCTGTATGCAGTAATCTACTGATAGAAATCTCTCTCTCTTGCCCTTTTTAACTCCCAGTGGAGCACAGGCTATCAACAACATTACTCCAGCGAAGCCTGTCCTGAGCATCCTTTTCCTCCATCTTCCAGAACAGGCGGTCATGTTGTTTTTGCTGTTGATGTTTTTGTAGCTGCTTTTTGTTTTACCGGAAAGGGCTGCTAACCCTTTGCCCAACCGGCCTTAGTCGCCTTCTACGACATGCGCGGTACGGATACAATGGTCCTATTCTTTGCTTCCCTATCTCTTGGACAGGGCCCCGAGAACCACACGGGTGGACTGATAGAAACAGTACAACGTTATTTCTTTACCTTAGAATTACACTTTTCTATCTGACATTTTTAGCCGTTTTGAGTTATTAACGCATGAGGTCAGACATTAAATTATGTTCTATCTCTATCAAAACCGTACTATTATTTTTTTGAGTCGTTTATCAAGATATTCAAAGAATTGTATCTTGATAAACGACTCCAAATAATATTACGGTTTTGATTGATAGAGATAGAACATTCAAAGAATTGTATTGTGTCGATGTGCTTCTCTTTACTCAAACAAAGAAAGAATTGTGTTAAAAAAGCTTGACATGTTGGGAAACTCACATTCATTACGTCGAATTTGTCAAAACTTGGCACTGAACAACTAGAACTTTGCCATTCTAAGGTAGCGGCATACTGACAGAAATTATTATGTATTAATAGCACAAAGTTCTAAGGACATACCAGAAGTTCTCAGGCAGAACCACTTGTCACTCTCCTCCGCGTGTCGGAGCACGACGAATGTGTAGGGCCCCTGTGTCCAGTGTGTTACACAGTGTGCTCTGTGCTCCGCCTGCTCCGGTAAGCCTTTGGGCACACACTCTTTTTTCCTGGGGTGTGGAGGGGACACGTTCAGGTTATACGGTGTTGTTGTTGTTGTTGTTGTTGTTGTTGTTGTTGTTGATGATGTTGTTGTTATTGCTGCTGTTGTTGTTGTTGTTGTTGTTATTGTTACTGTTTTTTCCTCTAGTTTTTTTGTTGTTGCTACTGCTGCTGTATCTGATGTTGTTGCTGTTGTTGTTGTTGCCGTTGTTGTTGCTGTTGTTGTTATTGCTGCTGTTGTTGTTGTTGTTGTTGTTGTTGTTGTTGCTGCTGTTGCCACTCTTCTCGTTTTCCTTGATGTTGCTACCATTGTTGTGATGATGATTCTATTTACTTTTGTACCTACGTGCTGGTGAGGAGGGGGAGACAGAGCGAGAGAGAGAGAGAGAGAGAGAGAGAGAGAGAGAGAGAGAGAGAGAGAGAGAGAGAGAGAGAGAGAGAGAGAGAGAGAGAGAGAGAAAACAGGGACAGAGAGACAGAAATACGGGGTGTTTTCAGTGGAATCTCTTCTCTATTTCTATTTTGTTACAAATATTT